CATTGATACAAATATCTTCAAAAGTAGGTTTGATTTTTGGTTGATATCTAGGGGTTTATTTAATTTATGAGAGTTGATTTTATAATCATTACTGTTGTTAAAATTATAAAAGACATAGCCTCTTGATCATCTGTTGAGAAGGACTTTATATTTTATGTTGACAATGTTGGCATGCTGCACACTTTTTCATTTTGGGGGGGGGGGGGGGCTTGTAGATTGGAATGTAGTTGTGTTTTTTCACCAACACATTAACTTTAGTTCAAGAAAAGCTATATGTGGTTAATTTTTTTGCAACCTTTTAATTAAATTTCAAACCATTGTTTAATTACATTACCTATTGTTCATAACTAATTCAATTATTTTATTTTTAAACTTTATAGCTATTATTTTTGGTCTGATTTACAATATATGTTTAAGTTCTAAATATTGATATTTCTTAGTTTTGTTCAAGGGTCGACACTTGACAAAACACATTTTTGCACAAAAACAATGATGTCATTTTTGACATTGTGTTATTATATGAAGATTTTCGTGTTTGTAACCTTTAATGAATGTGGTTTCTTTGATCTAATTAAGATAAGATGTTAGATCTGCTTTCATAATTGTTTCACTAACAACAAACAAAATCCCATTATGGGTCACGTCAAATTCTATCAACCAATCAAATCAATGCCTGCAAAATCATTTTATATTGTTGAAGCTAATAAGTCTAGAGCTGTTCCGAATTTGACCTCTGACGTGACCCTCGATGCGATGCTATAAGATGTTAATGTAGCGAGTATGTGAGTGGATCTAATATCCAGTTTTAATTATATCACGGTTTCTTTAAAAAAAAATTGTTGAAAGGTTTAATTTATACATGTATTTTGTTTATAATCATGTTTAATTATAGAAATTTGTATTCTGTTCATTACATTGTAAGAAATGATCTCTGATTAAGGAAATTGTTTCATCTGTCTGACATCTTATAGTCATGTGGATCATTAAATGAGCTTGTACTTGTAGTATAAATGTTTATCAACCTAATTCTTGTATCAAAAACTAGCTGGCAAAAAAATCTCAAAATATCTCAATGATATAAATGCATTTAAATTAAATGCATTCATACATTATTTAGTTTTGTTTTGTTTGACTTAATTTTATTTTTTTTTGGTTGTAGTAGTAGGAAGTGCACCCCCTATGGATGTGTAAATATTTTAGTTTGCATTTAATAGCTTGCATTTGTTAGTTTTCCTTTGTTGTCACAAGTACAGTAGCACTAGGGCTTTGAAATAATTATCCCGGTATTTTCTCAGTCTATATACTATGTAGTAGAATGTACACTGTATATATATTTATATATGCTGTAATATTTAATTTTTGTTTAATTGTCCTGTGAACTAGTTCATATCTTATATTTATAGGACAGTACTGGTTGTAAATGAAAGTGAACGAGTGAAGAGAAAAGGTGTAATAAAATATTTTATATCTTAAATGATTTCTTGTGTACGCCTTGGCATCTATTATAAACAGAATGTAGAACCAAAACCAAAATCAACAGCTTCTTTGAGTACATGTAGACTACCGTGTACTGCACAGACTACATTGTTTGTAATGTCTTATTACAGTGATCAAGTTGTAGCTTACGTGGAGATAGAAAAACATGTGGAAAACGTCACGTGGAAGAACGTAAATGTGAAATCTCACGTAAACATGGGATTTAATTCGATCTAAATTTGGCGTTTATGTTGGGTAAAATTGTATTATACGTGAAATTTCACGTAAAATGACATTTACCAACACTTTAAACATGACCTAGATTGGGGTAAAATGCTACATTAAATGTGCAACTTTACGTAAAATGAAATTTAATTCAACTAAACATGACGTATAAATGGAGTAAAATACCTATATTAAATGTGAAACTTCAAGTAAAACGACGTTTAATATTCAGCTAAACATGAGGTATAATTGGAGTAAAATCATGTATAATAAATTTTTAAACTTGAAATTTAATAGGATTTAATCGTTTATTTTACGTGACGTATCATTGAAGTAAAATTTTAAGATTAAATGTCATTAAATTTCGGCGTTTAACAAAAATTTTACCCCAAGGTAAACTCAAATTAAATTACAAATATAATTCAAAATTAAATTCTTATTATACGCTGAAACTTGGCGTTTAATTGGGGATTAACTGGCATATAATTTTACATTAAACGCAATTTTTCGTGCAGTGATCTGAACGTGAATAATGCAAACGAAAGAGCGCAAACTATACAAGATACCCCACACGTCATACATAACACAGCTTTTGCAATGCATATTTTGTTTACTAAAAAACTCCTCGGGTGTTTTGGTTCTTTGGTTAAAACAAGAAACCCATCTGAACTATAAGCCAAGATTTCGGAGGAACCATTTTCGTTGGCTTATCGAAGATTCACTCTTACATGACCCCAAATAGGATGTTGTTAGATGTTTGAGAAGCAGTAGCGGATTCGGAACATCTGATTTTAATGAGATTGCATCCATCTGTGACATCAGTTTGGAATGTTATTGGTTTTATTATTAAGTAAAGTATTACAAAAACGGAATGTCTGTTTTTTTTCTCTGATGGCATTGGACAAAGATATGCATACTTAAATATCATTTCATGCACTTTTTTCGGTACATATTAGATGAAAGCATGCTAACCGCTTTTCAGTACTTTCAGTACTTTGATTACACAGTGTCAATGATGCTCAATTACAAAACCATGATTATACTCTTTTTTCAGAGATTGATTTGACAATCACTGTTGATGCAAATGAAACTCGTAAAAGGGCAGAAATCAGCAGCCAAAGAAGTCAGCTTTGGACAAAGGACGTGTCTCGCTTTATCGTGTTTTCTAATAAACCTCACTGTTATAGCTTAGAACTAAGAGTACCGGTAGGATTTTAATTAATTTCTGCATAAATTTATCCAAAAAAAGGAATTAAATTGATGGGAATTGAGCAACAAGCAGTTCACTCTTAATGTAATAAGGCATTAATTAGGGCAATTGTCTTTTTTGATTTGTTTACTTTTTAATCAAAGCTTCCCTTTAAAAAATGTAAATAAATAAACTTTTGAAAAAAAAACAACATTCCACAGAAAAGGGGCTCGATATCCAGTACGTCTAAGAATTAGTTATAGTGTGTTGAGTGCATTTAGAAAGTGATTTATTTCGTGATGAATTGCAACAGGTCATCGACAGAAGATTTTTTCAAGTCTTGGAGAGACCGATAGTTCTAAAGGTGGAGTACAGAATAAGTAATACATCAGAATCTGGAAGAGTTAGAGCTATTCTGAAAAGGGACGTCACTCCAACATTCTACGGAAAGGTATTGAATTTGACTTAGTTTTGTTTTAAAATTAATAGTAATAATCTAAGTTTTGAGTTTACCTTCAATTTTTTTTCAGGCACGGTTTGACACAGGTTGTAAATCAGAAGATGGAATTTGTAAATCAAATCTGAATCTCCATGTGACCTTTGATAAGAAAAGACTTCTGATCGGCAATGACACCATCTTACAAATGAGAATAGTTTTGAAAAACTCTGGAGAACCGTCCTTCAAAACATCAATAATAATCGAACACTCTAAGCTGGTGCGATTCAATACATTGAAAATAAGTCAGTCATCTGTGAAAATGTCTTGTATGGATATAAAAGACAATAAATCGATTGAATGTGAGATTCAAGATCCTTTTTATCAACGTATGAAAGGAGAACTCGATGTGTTTTTCGAAGTTTCCAGAAGTCTGTTGGAATCGACTTCCGGTTATGTATCTACAAGAAGCCTCGTTTTCAATGTGACTTCCGTAACTAACAACGATATTTATCCAGAAGATAACACAGTTGTTAAAAATGTACCTGTTGCCGCTTTTAATCCAGACTACTCTGCAGGTGTAAGTTGAAAGACAAGATTTTAATTTTCTCATTCATTATATGTATTAAAAAGAACAGTCAGAGAAATATTCGTCCCCGTTTTTTTTTCGTCCGTTTTGCCCATATCACAAGTGAGCGAATTTAAAACGGTGCGAACTAAAAAAAACACAGTACAATTTCTTAAACAGAACTGTGATAGGGCGAATTCAAAACGTGACAAAATCTTTCGCAAGTGTAAAAGGGCGAAAATAACTCCGTAAACTCTGTCAAGTTAACTCAAAGAAAACTGTAGGCTAGTTCAATGTTTTCCAAAAACATTGATATGAAATGTTACAAATTTTCCGAAAAATGCTCACTAGCTACATGTTAACCGATCAGCAGTTTTTGATTTCATGATTGAAAAGGATTTTTTGTCCTTACTTTGAAAACAAGTGATTTCAGCAAGAAAAAATTAACTGTCTAACAAAATTTTCACCAAATGTAACTTGTCACAGGTCAGCATCCGATGAACAGATAACATCAGCCAACAGCAGTATACAGTTCTCAAACAGCTACCGACTCTTCAACGACGGACCCTGTGTTATAGAGACTGTGGATCTACAGTTCCTCGTTCCTGTCAGGACTGTGAACAAAATCTTCATAAAAGAGGGCGATATCAAGGTACGACAACCCGAAAAATATATTAAACTAAGAAAGAGTTGTCCGTCCATATAATTATATGATTTCTGGTGTTTTCTTTTGTTTAGGGATTTAGAATCTCTTGAATTTTATGGGCAGACTTTACAATGAATTTACATCATCAAGGATTATTAAAGTATGGGAGACAAGACGTCCGATTAGGAAATATTGTTCCGTTATAACTCTTGTATTTCGGTGCTTACAACTAATGAAAATTGACAATTAATATCACGGAATTGGAAAGAAAGTAAAATTAACAAACCTAACTACGCGTCTATTGTAATGGAAATGTTAAAAGTAATCAGTCGGAAGATAACAAAATCAATAAAAAAATTTCATTTCGAAAAGATTTATGTCACTTTAAAAAAAAAAACTGAACAAAGTTTGCAAAGGGTCGCTCGACAACGTGTTTAGACAGAATCAACTCCAGAATTTGTAAATATGGGAATACAAAACGATATATAATAATATTAAAACATGTTTTAATTACTATCGCTCAGTTGTGACTAGTATTTTCTATACCTTTCTTAAAGGTACAAAATAGTAACCGGAAAGACATTTGCAAAATGTCTTACTATCCTCGTGAAAATCTGAAAACTACAACCCCAAACCCCATTTCCGGAAGTAGCACTCTGCAGTACAACGCTTCTGGTATAGGGCTCACACCAATAAATCCAGATTTTCAACCAATCAGAGGCATGCTGGAGAGTTCGCAATATATTGTAAGTTGACAATGAAAACAATTTTCTGATTCTTTTGCAAGAAAAGTTATTTCACGATTGCTTGTTTATATCTTTTTATTTGTAATTACATTTTAGATGGGAAATGTAGGGATACTACTGCCTCAACTTTCTAGATGTTATTCTCAAATTGTGTTTTTGACAAAATAGAAGTTTTTTTTATAGGGGACATAAAATTTATTAACCTGGAACATATGAAAATTCGACATGAGCATCTCATAAATGCTGACAGAAATATTCCACATTATACAGTGTAACAAAGTAATTTTACACAAATATTGTCTTTTGGAGTCAATTAAAATGTATACTTCAGCGAATTTATTTCAAAAATGTATCTGACAAATGGAGCTCATGATAAGATATGATAATATTTAACAACAGAGGCATTGCTTGGGGTTATTAATCAAGAAATTAAACATCCTTTAGTTTTGTGACAATGTAGTTGGACCCTACCTGTGTGCAGTGGTCGACTGTACTGTGAATATGGTCAAACCTGAGGACAGTGATAGCAGAACATTCGTGATGCCCTTTGACATCCTCTTGAACAATCTACCTGAACTTGAAAAGGTAGAACATAAACTTTTTAACTGAACCATTGACTAATCAATTTACCACTGTTGGCAAAGCACACGAAATTTACCAATTGAAATGATACGTCCCGTGTATTTGAAAAGCATTTTACATGTATCTTTGTTGATTTTTTTTCCCAAAATAATAATCTTTGAATAAAGATGATATAATAATATTCTCTCTTGTTAATGTTCATTTTATAGGGGAAATCTTTTTATACCTTTGTTACACGTGGTCGTGTGGTCCCTAACAAGCGATCAGCTGTGCCATTGGTGTTGAGCAAAAACGTATCAGAAGAGGTAGGTCTACATTTAAATATGTATGATAGATATCATCATACACGTAATTCAATAAATACATGGTCCTGATGGTCAATTTTACGAATAAAATTCGTGGAACGATACAAACTTTAAATGACAACTGCTATACATATATAGTTATCCCTCTAAGGCAACTGTTGGAAGATTAACCTTGTGTTTGTGAAAATTGTTTGAACAGCATTTTTAAAATAAATACGTTTTTTAAATAACTCAGTTTGGACATTTTTAACCATACATGTATTTGTTTGTTTTGATTCTCTTTTGGGAATTTTCTTTTATGAAATTGGGAAAAACATATACTTTTTACCATTGGGCATGGGGCCTTATACAGGCCCCGTACGATCCTTAAAAACCCTGGTCTGATGTACAAATTCTAATTGACTGTATTGATTGATTTCTTATTTTCATATTTTACAAGCCAAATCCTTTAATTCGTTTTGAAGGTTTCTTCATAAAACATTTTTATAAAGGTTATTTCACTACACAAAACTTTTCCATTCTATAGATATTTTTTATCATGAAAAATGGTAAATAAAAAAAAAAAACAAAATATTGTATAAATTTTGATTTTGTGAACGAAAATTCAATTCTTTAAATTTTTTTCTTTCAGATTTATGTTGCCATTATTCTTCCAAATTCCTTCTCCCAAAGCGTAGAAGAGGTAGATTTAGTAATAATCATCATCGGCTCCATCGGAGGATTATTATTATTTATTCTTCTGGGAGTTATCTTGTGGAGGGTTTGTATTAAAACTAGAGGTGCACTGAGCACTGAGCTTACTAAATGAAACACCCCCACCAACTACCATATGATTATAATGGTAAAGTCCATGTTTTGCTTTGGGAGACCCAAATAAATGTGTGATCAACTAGGGGTTCAGTATGCACTGATGGGAGACTCGAAATAATGCCCTGTTCACACGGAGAGTTTAATTCGAATTAAACGTAAAGTTACTGCGCTTAGCGTTCACACGGGAGAATTTAATGCGAATTAGTTTAATTCGAATTAGTTTACTGCGCATTAAATTACTTTGCATTAGCTCCACGTGAATTCTTAGCAAAGCTAATTCGAATTAAATTTTGACGCATGCGTAAGGCCAGAATTAAGTCACAGGACACGTGTTGGTGGTTATATATAGGTATTTTTGCTATATTTGGTTCAAAAATTGAGGGAAAGTATGTTGAACACTAAAATCAATGAATACCTGTAGCCACTACATGATGTATCAAAGGATGGCTCTGCATGCATGACGTGTTAAACGTAAAGTTACTGCGAATTAGCTTCCCTTAGCGTTCACATGGAGAATTAAATGCAAATTAGTTTAATTCGAGTTAGATTACTGCGCATTAAATTACTTCGCATTAGCTCCGTGTGAACGTCAAGCGAAGCTAATTCGAATTAAATTCTGACGCATGCGTAATGGCAAAATTTATTCAAATGCCACTTGTCGATGGTCAGCTATAGGTACTTAAGTGAAAAACTTAGGAAAATTTTGTTAATCATTAAAATGTGTATACAGACACTATGCCATTATGTCAAATGGATCTGCTTCTGCATAAGGTGACGTGATTTGCAAATGACGTCATAATAGGCGTGCTGACGCCGGGCTGCAGATGTAAAATGTTAATTCGCATTAGTTTACTTCGCATTAGCTGTCGTGTGAATGCAATTTAATTCTCATTAGTTTGATTCGCATTAGATTACTTCGCTTTAATTTACTTCGAATTGAACTCTTCGTGTGAACAGGGCATTACATTAAATTTACTATATATATCATGAATCTTTAAAGTTGACTTGTAAGGGTATTTTTCATTTTCATCGTTGTTTTACTTCATAAATGGGACCAATATCTGCTTTTGCTGAATCTGACATAGATGTTTTATTATTTGTACTAAGAAAGCGATTACACATCCACTGCACACAATGTCTAAGGTGGTTACAGTATCTTCAATTAACTGTTTATATCATGTTATTATATTTTATTAAAGAGATATATAAACAATTATAATACATAATTGATTTCAAAGGGGAAAATAACAACAGGGGAAATGCAAAGCAGGCAGAATATTCGCTTATCGATATACTGGAGTTTTTTGTTTAAAAAATGGAATGCTGTTTACATTCTTAAGAAAAAATCTTCTCTTACAAAGCTGTATATCAGCAACTTTATACGCTTGACATTGTAAAAGTTGGTATACTTGCACATCCATACTGATCACCATGAGAACACATGACCAAGGTTGAAATCTTGACCAAAGGAATCTGTCTCCTAGCAGTAAATGAGCAGCGCGCTAGGTCGTTCTGATGTATAGAAAAATAAAAAAAAATGCTTTAGATGCCTAAGGAAATTCTCGCAGCTCTGTCCTTCACAACACAGACATTTAGAAAAGAAGTGAAATACAGTTATCTAGTTTTATTAGACGATCGTTACAAATACCGAATGGAATACAATGATGTTTTATTTATAAAGTACATTTAACAAAAACAGTAATAATTTCTCATGTGAAGAAGTAGCACTTTGCATTATTAACAGTGATTATGAAAAAGAAGACGTCGACACTTTGTCAGAATAGATTAAATGTATCAGATCCATGTTAAAGTCGCACATTAAAAGATTGAGGGGCAATATGAAAACCATCTATTTGTTTGTGTTCAAAAATCCAGAAGTGATCAAAAGAATTACATACTAGGTTAAGGACAAAATTCTTCAAAATCATGAACTGAAATGAATTTGAACTACCTTTTATATATTTGATTCCGAAACTTCATAAAACTCCTAACAAACAAAGATACACAGTTTTTCAGCAATTCACAGGGCCAACAAAGGCAAAAGATGTTCTTTATACCCCGGGTATCTATCGAAGACGTAATGTCAATTAACAATGGTAATATAATTTCCATTCCTACGCCGATATATCCTGGTGAGCTTGAGATAAAAGATACCACAGACTCTGATACATATGTTTCATACTTTGATATTTTACTTGAAAAAGACGTTAATGCTAATCTAACAACAAAACTATATGATAAACGTGATGACTTTGACTTTTACATATCGTCAATTTCCCTTACTTGTACAGTATATATATCTCAGTTGATTCGATACGCAAGAGCATGCTCTACGTATGAACAATTTCTAAAACGAGATAAATTATTGACAACGTGGTTGTTGAAACAAGAAATTCAGCAATCTAATGCTTGCGATATTCAAAGCATTTGATGGCATCAAAAATATTTTCCTAGCATCTTGAGTTTGAGCTAAAATTAGATACAAATATAAAGTAAATAACAATTTGAATAAATAATTTTTTAGCTAAAATCAATGATATTGATAAGACATCATAGAGATGGTCTTTTGATTGTTACTCCTCAATAATTGAAGTGTTGCACATTTCATTCTCTTTGACGCAAATCCTTAAAAATACTCTATTTACATTTTGTTGCATAATTAAATCCCCAGGTACAAGAAAACTGTTCGATGAAGCCAAACTGTTAAAGATGCACTAATTATGCCATGAAACTTTCAATTTACCTACTACATATAAAGGATTTCCCAGGTTTTCATAAAATGTTATATCAAAGCAAAGCAATAACTTTATCCATCGAAACAATGTTGAAGTGGGTTACGTTCTTTTCCTTTGAATGTATACGAACGTTTTCTGGAAAGAGTATTATCAAATTCTTTTATTTAATGGAGCCTTGGGTTTTATTGTTTGAAAATTAAAATAGAGAAGCTCTTTATTTTTAAACCATTTATGACTCATATTTACTTCAGTGCACATAGCAAGTTTGTGGAAAATTTACCGCCAGGTATTTACAGTGACCGTCTCAAACGATGGGTACATTAACGATGACATTTTTTGCACTTTACGGCAAACTATACGAATACTACAATAATATTTTTTGCTGAAATTGTAGCACACGATGTTTAATACTGTATTATATATTATATGTAACAAACAAAAAATTCTACCGTCTTGTTTACAGAGGAGGGAATCTCAAAATACCAAAAATTGCTGAATTTCCTTTCTTTGATAGAATATCATAAACTATGACGGATAGAAAGGATTAATTTTATAAAAAATAAAAAAAAAGATAATAGGGTGATTCTCAAACTTCCATGTTTTGAAGTTCAATAGAATATATACCGGTCACGGTAGCTTAGTGGTAGAGGGTTCGCTTCGTGATCGGGAGGCCCGGGTTCGATCCTCGTTTGCCTAAGACGTAAACAAAGGTAGTGATTGTTCCTTCGCCAAGCGCTCGGCACTAGAAGTGAAAGTCACGGGTCTTTCGGATATGACCTTAAAAACGTAGATCCCGTGTCACTGTAGGCGCTGGCACGATAAAGAACCCTCACTGCTATATGGCCCTGAGTGCCGAGTATAGGTCAAAATTTGAAGCCCTTACCGGCATACGGTGACGTCTCCATATGAGTGAAATATTCTCAAGAGAAACGTTAAACAATATACAACCAAAAAATTCTGCATGGCTTAGTCAATATTCCTACAAATCTTAGGTATGATAAATTATCATTTGAACCTGATTTGATACTTTTTGTCCCCCGCTTGAAAAGTGGGAGATATTAATTTGGGTCTATCTGTCAGTCCGTCCGTCTAGCTGTCCGTCCATCCGTCTTTCTGTAACGCTTTCGTTTCCACACGTTATCTCGCCATCCCTTTGAACATTTGCAATGAAATTTAACATAACAGAATCCCTGTGGCCTTAGGAAGACCCCTTTTGAATTTGGGGTCAAAAGGTCAACATTCAATATCGTAAAGAACTACGAACGATAGTATAATGATTGTTCTTCCGCCTATCTCTTAGTCAATTCTCAAAAGTTAACATATTGGAATGATTCTTAAAAAATTTATAGATATTTATATGAATTTTCATAAAACCTTACTTATTTGGGATACCAAAGAGAAATAACTCTATAATTTTGGCAAAACTTGTGTTTTTAAACACCTGGAGTTTAACAGAGAGATTATCAGATATGGTATCAAATTAACATCGAAAAGCCGACAGGTACTGTAGATTCCTTAATATAAGCGAGGAATTAATTTCGGCGTAATTTCGCGAGAAGTATCACTCGCGAAAAAAATATTACTCGCTTTTATTTTTCTGGTGCTTAAATCTATGTAAAATCTGTTCATTAACCGTTCATTCGCGAATTATAATTCTAGCGATTTGACGTTTGAGAGCCAGTTCGCGATGAAAAACACTCGCGAAAAATAAGGAATTGAAGGAAAATGAACATAAATAGACTTTGAGATTTAAAAGAACAAAATTTCGATTTACTACAGACTTCCTTGTACAGTGCTTATACTGTATTTAGAATGCTCTTTTTTTCAAATATCATTGACACTTAAGGTTACGAGTAATAGAAATAGATATATCTGGGTGGGAATGATAAAGAGTTGAGCTGATAGACCTTAATTCAGCCAGTCTTTTCTTCGTTTTCCGTTTCTTGGTTTTCTTCAATCCATCAGTTTTTAGAAAGAAACACATCAAAGTAAGGGCACCGCAAAGCGGAGCATTCCTTCCCAAAAAAGCATGTTCAGTAAATCATTTGACATCGATCCCGATACAAATTACGTCAATTCCACACAGAAAAAACTAACATACACATAAAGTAATAACACACATAATCGCATCACTATATCCCATCATACGTTGCGAGGGGATAATACTGTTGTCTATTTCTAAAATATAAGTCTAATTCCTTTTGTTTAATGAAAA